TACACCTCATTTTCAAATTATTCTCCTGCCTACAGAGCACGCTGCGGACGGGGTAAACCGCGACTTCGAGTGCGGCAGCGGCAGGACGGGCCCGCTGGCGCTGCCCGGGACTGCACGGCCTGGCCGAGGCGGGGGCTCGGGGCCAGGCCGGGGCAGAGCCCCGGTGGGCGGCACGGCGGGGTCCGGGCGGCGGGCGGCAGCTGGCTGGGGTCGGAGCGCTGCGATTTTCGAATGTTTGCTGTGCGGTTGTGCCGGGGGAAGGGGGGCTGGGGGGGGGGGGTGTTTAGCGGGAGCTGCCCGCCCTGCCAATCCTGCGCCCGCCAGGAGCCTCTCTGGCAGGAGAAAGGTGAGCTGGGGGGCTGCGGCAGTGTGCCGAGGGAGGGAGCTGAGAGGGGAGTGGAGGGGGGAAGCCAGGCTCTTTCCCGACGTCGCCAATCTTGGCGGACTCGTTTGCAAACCAAAACTGAGGGAAGGCCGGCACCGGCTCCAAACCAAGAGTGGCAGCCCGGGCAAGGGCCACAAGCCCGAGGCGGACCTCAGGGGCCCTGTGCACCCCCGCCCTCCTGCCCCTCTCTCTTTACCTGGCTGTACTTGGCCTCCTGCTCAAGGGAGTTCTTCTCCAGCCCGTTCACGGCGTGCTGAGCGGTGGGGGGAAAGCTGTTTCGGCCCAGGCTGCTCCAATCCTCCACCTTGGGGCTCGGGTAAGGCGAGGTGTCGCTTACTGCTGGGAAACATGGGGGGAAAGAGGGGTTAGAGGCAAGAGCCGGAGTGCAGAGAACTTCGCTCCGAGCTGGAAATTATTCCCTTTCCCCACTGGACGCAGCCTGTGGGGCAGAGCCTGCCCCTCGCCCGCTACACCTCGCTAACCCGCGGGGGAACCCCTAGAGAGGTGATCCAGGTGGCAAGAAAGGTCCCTTCTTGCAGCGGAAGACAGAAGTCGCCAGCAGAGTCGCTAGTCCCAGCGCCCCTGCACAGGCGGGAAGAGCTGACCGCCGGCACTTGTCCCCTGGGATCTCCTAGGGGGATTCACTGGAATCGTCTCGGATGTGTGCGCGTGCGAGTCCAAAGACAAACCATATCCCCTGTTAGAAGTTACCCTGGCACGGCTGCAGATAAACCAGCCTCCAAATTTGGGAAGGGAAAAAAAATATATAAATAAAAAAATAAACGAAACAAACAAACAAAAAACCAACCCAACAAGAAAACACAACAAACGAAACACAAAAATAAATTAAAATTTAGAAAGTAAAAGAACGGAAAATTAAAAGGGATGGAGAGAATAAAGGGGGGGGGGGGGGTAAAGTCCTGTTATTTACACACCATCAGCAGCCGCGCGGGAATACCGGGCTGTGTTGCAGGCGGGCGAATTCTCGGGGCCGCCGAGGAGTGGAGGAAAAAGGGGTTTGGGGGGCTCCCCCAAGCGAAGCCCCGTCGGAGTCTGCGGGGCTGCGGTCCCGGCTGGGCCGCCGTGGGAGCGGGCTGCCTCGCCGCACCGCTTCGCTCGGCCCCTCGGCAGGGCTGGAGAAAGGCACATATCTGAAGTTGTCTTAAGAAATTGAGCTCTCTCGGTGAGTGCCCTTTTCTGCTGATCTCACACTTTCCCATGAATAGGGGCTTCCTTTCCGTGTCAGCAAGGTCAGTTTATCCTATAAATCAAGGGCGAGCAGCCCCCATCTGCGGCATCGGCCGCGCAGCAGCCCTGGGTCTCTGCTGAGAAGGAAGGGGGGGGAGGGAAGTTTTACACTGCAGAAAGATGTGTGTAGCTCCGAGGTCTGAGAGAGACGGGCAGATACCGAGGCACCCGGCGGTACCGCCAGAGGCCCCCCTGCCTGCCAATATGGTGTTAATAAAAGAGGAACTCACTAAAAAAAAAAAGAAAAAAATACCAAAACCAACCAACCTCCATTTCTCCTGTGACGGTAATGTTCTTTCTTTTTAATGTTCATTGCCAACACTACCCTTCCCTAGCACAGAGCAGAGATTGCCAGGCGTATGTTTGTTAAAGTCGACTAAGAAACACAATTGCTTGTGCCAGTGTGGTCTGAGGATAAAATTCACATCTTGAAGTAGAGGGCGAAGAAGGGCACAACTTGTATCTTTTTGTATGTATGAATATAAATAAAACATACTTATGTGTATGTGCGTTACTTGGAAGAAAATGCCACCTTTTTGAGAAAAGAAAAAATTATTCTGCAATGCCTAAAGGATCAGTTTGCATTTGAAGTGCTTCTAGAACAGGATTGTTGCCGTTAAATAGCGCAGAAAACAAATCACAGCCCCCCCCCCCCCCCCCCCCCCCCCCGCTAACTGGGAAGGGAAGAGTGGGACACAGAGATCGCTGTAGGCAAAGGTTATTTTATACTATTGTTTTAACCACTTTCACTGGCAGAGACAGAAATGGAAAAAATGTCCCTTCCTCTGCCGCAAAGCGTAGCGAGCTGCTGGGAGACGCGACGCAGTTGCCAGGCGGAGAAACAGAAAGAAGGTGGAAGGGAAAAAAGAAGAGAATTCTGCGGCTTTGTTTTCCCTGGACCACCGCTTCGGAGGAAAATACACCATCAGAATGAAAGCAATTAGGTGACATTTGAACTTCCTGCCGGAGCAAATTTGGCCTGATTGCGAAAACTAGAGAAAATGGACTTCTCAGTAATGCCAAGGCGGCGCCTGTGACCGGAGGGCGGCAGCGTGCCTCGGCCAAGGCCGCCGTACCCCGCCGTACCCCGGGCCCTTCCCTCCGGCCCCGGTCGCCACTGCTGGGGTAAGAGCGGCAGCGGTGAGAGTAGGAATGTACCGCCTGAGTCCCCGGCATCCCACCCCGGGCCGCCGATCAGCCCGCGTCCTGAGGGCGCATCCTCCGGTAAGTTCAGCGTCGGCCTCTGGCTGGGGGCAAACGCCGGAGGTGCCCCGAGACCAACCACAGAACCTCGTCCTTCCCACCCTTGGAGAGGCAGGAGCTCAAGAGCAGGGGACAGAAAGGATGTGGCCCTGTCTGGCTGCCCAGGTTCCCCCTCCTCACCTTGGTCTGTGATAGAGCGGATCCCCAGTATGTCCGTCACCGAGTGGGAGGACGGCCACGTCCTGGGCATGGCCATGGTGCTGGGGAGCGCTGGCACTCCGGGAGGGGTGGGGACCTTGGCTCCTGCAGCAGCGATGGGACTGGGGTAGGAGTAGATGTGGTTGTAAGGCAGAGCAGGCTGTGGGGGTGGCGGGTGCTGCTTGTAGGACTCGTAGTGACTCTGCTGAGACAGGTTCCCTATTTTGTTTCGGAGGATGCGGCTGATGGAGCTGACCGACGGCACATTGTATTTGTCGCACACGCCGTCTGCCAGCAGGCGATCCCGGATCTCCCAGGCGAAGATGCCCGGATCCCTTTGTTTGTAGGTCCGGATGTGTTTTACCACCGTGGGGGTGGTGACCCGAGGCTTGCTACCCCCGATAGCCCCCGGTAGGATGGAACCCGTCTCGTTGTAGCGAGCCAGGATTTTGCTGACACAGCCGTGGGAAACGCGGAGCTGCCGGCTTATGTCACACGGTCTGATGCCCAGTTGCGCCAGCTCCACAATCCGCAGCCTGATGGCATTGGGCAGGGGTCTCCCGTTGACAAACACCCCCCCGAGCTGGTTCACTTCCCCGAAGGCAGGTTCTGTAAGCAAACGCACAAACACAGCCGTCGGACACGGCGAATAGTTCAAAGGGGGCTCCTGAACTGCTTCTCATTGCGAGGTAGATGTCACAGCTCGGAGATCCCCTGGAAACCCCCTGCACGCTTCGTTAGAATTGTGGGATAGCCCCAGAATTGAGGCGGGGAAAAGAAGGAGAAGAAAGAAAGAAGGAAAGGAAGGAAAGGAGAGAAGGAAGGAAAGGAGGGAAAGGAAAGGAAAGGAAAGGAAAGGAAAGGAAAGGAAAGGAAAGGAAAGGAAAGGAAAGGAAAGGAAAGGAAAGGAAAGGAAAGGAAAGGAAAGGAAAGGAAAGGAAAGGAAAGGAAAGGAAAGGAAAGGAAAGGAAAGGAAAGGAAAGGAAAGGAAAGGAAAGGAAAGGAGGAAAAAACTCCGTGGCAACAAATATCGCAGCTCTCCGGACTATGCATTAAGCATATTGAAAAAAAGCGCATTCCAGAGACGAAAAACGAGATCGCTCCAACAGACAAATCAGCTTTATTGCCACAGGAAAAAGGAACACGAAGAAAACAAAAAGAAAATAAAAACATTTTCGAAGACGGGGGAGGTGGAGGAAGGAAGAGTAGTTGAGGAAATTCTTTTATATCTTGGGAGAGGCAAGGGCGGGCAACGCGGTGCTTCTGAGTCGCGACTAACTTTTTAAAGACCGTTTCTGGTGCTGTTAGCGCCTCTCGCTTAACAGCACAATTACACCAGGCTGTAAAGCAAACGTGCTAAAATGTTAACCACTAAGATCGGTGTCAGGAATAATATACAACGTGCCACGGGCTCCAGCCATCCACTCGGCTGCTATCCGGCCTCGCACTCGCCTAATAACATTAATAACAAACCAAGCAAGTAACAAACCCTGCTCCTGACCCTTAACGTGTTCTTACAACTTGTATGAACACGAACAAAGTCAATAAGGGACCTGAGGCGACGGCTCATGACGGCGCACTGGCGCTTCCCCCTCTCTTGACAGCACTTGAACCCTCCTGCGGCTCCCGGCCACTTACCCATTCCTCCGAGCGGGACACCTTTGAGGCTGCCCTAAATCCCAGTCGGAGACCCGTGCCCGGAGACAGGCTCCCAGCCTCCCGCGATCCCTGCTGCACTAGCCCCGCGGCTCTTTGAGCTCCACCGAGAAGCCAGCAGGGGCGAGAGGGAAAAAGAACTACAAGAAAATCTACTTCCCGAGGAGAGAGCCTTGACTTCTGCATTTCAACCTCAGGGCAACGTGGGCAGGGCTGGGCTGGGCCGGGCGCCGCGGCCCCCTGTTCCCTCGGGCCCGCCCTCGAGGGCGGCCCCACAGCCCAGCCGCCCTACCAGTGGCCAAAGGACATGACGGACAGCGCGGGGCTGACGGCCCTTCCGCTCTGCCCCGCCGCCGGGCCCGGCACCTGGGCCCCGCCATGCCGCCGGGGCTCCTCCGTACCTGCCCGGTGGTAAGTTCCGCGGTCAGCGCAGTCAGTGCCGCGGTGGTGCGGAGTGGGGCCGGCGCTGTGGTTGGTCGGAGGGAGCTCGAGCACGATGTCCCCGCCGGGCCGGGGCACCTCCGGCGGGCGGGCGGGGCAGAGCAGGGCGCAGAGTCGGGCACCCCCCCCAGGAATTCCCTGGGCACCTCCGGTCTGCGGGTTGCCCCTCCCGGGCGTTCTCCCAGGGTCAGCGACCGGGGAGGGGGCTTCGGGGTTCTCAGAGACGGCTCCCGCTTTCTCCGACAGAAGCAGAGCGATGTCTTGACACCAGCGCGGCTTCCCCACGTTGGTTTCGCTGGTACGGGAGGGAAGTTCTTCCTTGGATACGGTCGTTTTGTTACAATAAAGCACTTTTTCACTAACGAACATCTCACGGGTGGTGCACGAGAAGACTGAGAGCCGTGAGAGTTACCATTTTTGGTGGAAACCACAAAGCGATCGGGAAAGGAGCTACGGCTTCGCTTGCCCCGCGAGGCGAGAGGACGGGGCTGGCAGCACCCGGGCGTCGATCGGGACTCCGGTGCTCCCTGGCAGTTCGAGGCCGGCGCTGGTTCTCCTGCAGTCCCCAATGTCACCAAACACTGCCCCGCGCAGAGCTGCAAAGCGCCAGCGCCTCGCTGCTGATTCAGCTTTATCAAAGGCATTGCTGCATATTAACAGTTAAAAGAAAAACAGGCAAAGCTGATAGAAAAGTATGCGTGGGTCACGCCGTGTTTGTGGAAGGGGTGTTTGGTTTGGCATTAGGTGTACGGATCCTGCTCCCTGAGTTTGTATGTGTGCCTCTTACATACATCCCGCATACATCAGGCTGCACACGGGATCACCATCTTCCTGGCTCCAAACAAGGATTTAACACAGGTTTCTATTTTTTTTTCCTTTTTTTTTTTTTTGTTTTTCCTAAGAATCTTTCTTGTTTCTTTTGTTTTTGTTTGTTCGGGCAGGGGTCTTGGTTGGATGGGGTATTTTGTGGGTTTTGCTGATTTTTCGGGGGGAGGGGTATTAATAGAGTCTCGAAGGTGCAGGCTCTATACATAAAAATCGAAATGAAATAATGTGACAGGAGTGCACAAAATGTCAGCGAGTAAAATATGAAATTGATGTCTTTGGTGTCTATGAACACTGTATAAATATTCATTTTAATTGAAAAGTTTGTAAGATATTTTCAGGGAAAAAGATCAAATTAATTGAGCTAGATCTCAGAGCCTGCACATACCGCAATGAGTGCGGATGGTTAGGAGCAAGTAGGATGTTGCAGGACATCGCGCAGAAATTAGTACCATGTTGCAGACGTTTTGTTCTGTTGCTTGAAAAAAAAAAAAAAAAAACAACAAAACCAAACCAGCAACAAAAGAGAACCCAACAACATCAAGTTTTCTATGGCAGTTCTGTGGTTATTTCAGAACTATGAGCTGCCTATTCAGAATATTACACTTGTAAATCGGGGTGCTTCCTTGACCTAAATAAAATTACCTTGGCAAAGGGGGCACACACACGCGTGCACGCACATCGCAGCGCAAATGCCATGATCCGAAGGCGATAGTATGCTGCGAAGGCAATACTAGCTGATGCAAGAATGCTTTTCAGTGTTGTGAACTGACCTGCTTTGGATATTTTAAAAGCAGGAGGCATTGAAAGAGTGGACCAGGATCCAACTTTTAATTAAGTTGATTATGCAATTAAACAATGGAAGGGGGTGCGCTTCCGTAAAACTTCCGGTCCGCACTAACAGCGTATTTATCCCCGAAGCAGAGCCGATAGAGGGATCCCCGGCAGTCTGCCTGCTGCTCCGCACACGCGTCCCCTCCAGTTGCTTCAGCCCAGTCCAGTGGCGAGTGGCTGGGGCCAGCTCGGGCGCTTGTCACTCCTGAAGCTCCCCAGGGTTGCCGGGATGCTCGGGCGCGCCCCGGGGCTGCTTTCCCAAACTGCCCGCGCAGCTTCTCTCCCCATCTGTGCCTATTATGTGCACAGTTGTGTCCTTTCCTCCCCTCTCCGCCGTGTCCTCCAACCTGTCTGTTCCCCCTCCTTCCCTCTCCCAGCCCTCCACCCCCGAGACCGCCTCTGATCTCCGGGATATTTGGTTTCTTTCCCGTTCTCAATGTGTGTTCCTGATGTGGTCCTGTCGGAAAAGCTCGTTTACTCTGCTCGGGTCTCCAGTGGTTTAAGGATAATGTTTATCAGAAGTGAACGTGCTCAACTTGTTTCCATTCAACTGCTGAGTGTGGGCTGAAATACCAAAGGTCACATCTACAGTGAGTCGGTAGAGGGCAGGGGGAGCCGAGGGGAATACGAAAACATTATAGTACACAACAGCCTGTTGATCGCTTCTGACCTGCCTGGCAAAAAGATTTACTTTTTTTTTTTTTTTTCCAGGTAGGAAATCATGGAAGAACGGGAGGGAAAAGGCGGTAGGGAGAGGAGGGCGAGGGGCGCGGAGTCGGGGCTCCTCCACCAGGAAAAGGGTACGGGTGGCTGGTCAGGGGCTCGCCCCGAGGTGCGGCCGCTCCACCGGCAGCCGCCCCGGCACGCACCCGCACCCCACCGCTGGGTCCCCCCGAGTAGGCAAAGCAAAGCGGGGGGGCTGAAGGAGACTGGACAAGGGCCAGCCAACAGCCGGGTTTCCCCTCACACCCCTTCGCCTCCGTGCCGGAGAGGGGGACTGAACCGTGCCCTCCCGCACCATGCTGCCCGGTGGCTGGTCTCTCGGGGTTCACTACCTCCGTCTGCCTGACCCCGACATCGGGGCATCGCAGAGGGGAGCTGGCGGCTACTTTCCTTCCCTCAAACACGGTCTTCTGGCCGTCTCTTCTCCACGAAATGGACTTGGCGTGAGTTGCTTGCAGCAAATTGCCTGTACGACAGCAGCCCCGGTCCCGGCGAAGCTGCGGCTGGCAACCCCTGACTCTCTCCCCCGCCCAACTTCCCCCCATGAGGGCCTTCTCTGGCGCTTTCTGGGGGCCGGAGGCCTCCCGAAAGTGTCTCCCAAGAGCCGAGAGTTCGGTACCGGAGAGGCGGCATCTCTCCTCCCCGCCGGCCGGGCTACGATGAGAGAGGCAGCCGAGGCCGCCAATGCTTCTGCGCTCAGCGCGACGTGGCCGGTTCCGGCCTCCCCGGGACGCTTTCACCGAAAGCCCGTCCACCACGGAGGCTTTTCTGTGGGGACTCCGGGGGATTCAGTGTCTCGCTGAGCCCTAGTTCCCTCCGTTCCCCCGCTGTAGGGAGAAATCAGCCTAACATAACACGACACACACACAGCCAGCCTCTCTGAAGCGGCAGATTTTTAACGCCTTTTTTTGTTTTTCTCGAAGGAAGCTGAGCTCTCCTTACCGTGGGGAGAGGGATACTGAGAAGCTGTCAAGGCAGAAGGATGCTCATATGACAACACATTTTGTAAGTAGAAGCTCCCTCCCTTAGACCTTTCCCGAAGGGCAAGGCCCCCCCCCCTCCTATGCGTGTGGTCGGGAGGATGGGTTTCTCGAGGTTGTGTGAGGAAGATGTGGGTCTGGGGTGAGCGAACGTTAGAGCCACAAGAAGTGGTGTGGGCTATCTCAAAGACAGTCGCGCACTGTCGCAGTTGCCCTGTTTTCTCTTCACTAGCTCCTGCCATGCGGTGCCGAGCTGCCAGATTTCCCCCCCTTCCCTCCAGGGAAGAGATATGAACAGTTTGGAGGGGAAAGGAAACCTTGGAGCCGGAGCAGGGGTGAGGCAAAGCAGTGGGGCTGTCGGATAAACTTTTGGACACCTCTGGATTAAAGTCAGGGAAAAGCGAGCAGAGGCAGGTGGAAGGGCAGCGACAACCTAGGGCTGTGGCTGGAGGTAACTCATCCTGGAGAGAAGGTGCTGTATTATGTAGACCCCCGGAGCTTTAAAATGAAGCTTTCGTTTTATACACAGCTATTCCTTCAAGCGGGAGTATAAAATCCCACAGGATCTCCCGGGATCGCTCCCATTTTCTGCGGGGTATGTAAGAACCAAATGCAGGATGCAGGGGCCCTCTGATATCCTCGGGTATTGGCTGCCATATGCATTTCCTTATGCGACAGAAGAGCTGAGCCCAGCAGGTTAGCGAGGGCACCGTGTCTTAGTAGGGCGCGGGAGGGGGCCCAGGTCCGGTTCCGGCTGACCCCGCTCTCCACCGATAAAGAACGGAGGGAGGGAGTTCTCCCCCTCTCTCCCATCCCGAGCCTGCGGGCTCGAAAGCACCTGGTCTGACTCCCAGGTCTGAGGTGTGCCGATCCCCCGGCATAGTCTGGCATAAGAGCACTTCAAACTTCAAAACTTGCTTGGAAGCGGCTGCCGGAGAAGATGAGGGGGTTCACGGGAGGCTGCCCCTTTCGGCAACGTGCGGCTGCAGGACGGGACCTCCGCTCCCGCGGTCCCGAGCTCCTTGGCGAAGCCGAGCCCCCGCCCTTCTGCAGGAGTAGACCTGGTATTCCACTTATTCTCCCCTTTTCGGGGGAAAAAAGGCTTCGTAAGAACGATCCTGAGTCACGTTGCCGATCCTTCGTTGGTAGATGTCGCGTCTCTTACTGCCACCCGCTGCCTTATTTCAGCTCGCTAAAACACAGACGCTTCTATGTTTTTGTTTACAGAAACTGCCCGCGTTCACGTACAAAGTAGTTGTGAATTCATAAGGGAATATTTTTACATTAATTGAATTAACATAACACTCAAACATGCACGGAAATACTAGTAACGACTCTGAAACTCCTACAAAAGATTCCTTTTTATTTTGTCCCGTCTTCAAACAAGCTGCGAGGTGAAGGGAGGGGGCAGTGCCATGTGTGAGTGTATTTCAATTTTAAGAAATTGATTTGACGTCAGGGACAAGACAGGGAATGGAAATGCAGTAGGATGTTGTGTTTAACAGAGTTTCATCGGGTGCAAACAAGCCATGTCTGAACAGTCCCTGTATACTTATGAAGCAATGGCGGGCAAAATAGTCAGGTCTTGGAGTCACCTTAGCGATGACAGACCCCAAAATCTGAAGGGAAATGGAACATAGCAAGAAATCAAGGCGCAAGGCTTTTGAGTGTCGTGCTTTTGGGGTGAGGACGCAACCTCCTGCAAATCTCCTCCCCGGCGTGCAAGAGAGAGGGAGCTCCGTTTCAGCAGTTAGAAAATGTCCTGGCAGTGTCGGGATGTCTCGGCGGCTTGGCTGGGGCTCAGGCATCTCGCCGGAGCTCAGGCAGCGGCTACCCACGGCTCGGCGCCGTCCAGTTCCCTGCGCCCGGCCCTGCCGGGGCTTTCAGCCCCCGGGAATGCCGCGAGGAGCCGGCCCCCGGCCTGCTGGGACGAGTTGCTGGCAGGGTCTGTATAAGCTCAGGCGACCCATGGCGAGTGACTCCGAGAGCTTGGCTCCTTCCCAGAAGAGAGGCGGGGACAGACACGGTTGCCTTGTCCGGTTTGACCCCCCCCCACGGCTCAGGCTGGTAGCAGATCTTCTCCAGCGAGGGCAAGAACTCCTGCACTTCGCTGAGATACATTGAAGACAGATGAACAGGTGAAATAAATGTGTGGCAGTGAGAAAACGGGCAAAGAGATGGGGGTTGACGACACCCCGACGGACCGAGCTGCCCCGCCAAGCCCCCCCGCTGCCGAGTCCCGGGTCTACCCCAGTCCAGACCACCCTCTCCCCGGCTATTCCACCGGGCAACGGCAGCCGTGCCACTGTCCGACTGCTGCCACCCTCGTCTGAGTATTCAGATCGAGGTTGGAAGGGTTGGGGGGTGGCGGTGGTGTCTTAATGATGTGTTAGTTGCTTGGGCAGATTTAATAACTTTGCCGCCACTTGTTCTTAGCAACCCCTCTGGAAACCAGACAGTGTCTCATTAGGGCTTTCCTGGTGCAAACATTTGACTTGAATGAGCGGTGCGGAGTTAATTTCTCTTTTCACTAGGATTTGTTTAATGACATAGAGAAATAGACAATTCTCATAGACCAGGCCATAAAGCTACAGAGGGCCAGATTTTAAAAGCATATTTTGTTCTAATAAAGCAATCGGGTTTTCATTTGTCACGTTACATGAATTTAAAGTAAATTTAAAAAATACCTCTATTGTTCTGCATTAAATTATAGGAACCAATTGGGAATTCCTAGGCAATTTTCTCCATTTCTGCCTTCGCTTCTGCAACACCTAGTACCAGTGCCACCTACAGGAATAATTGCATTTTCGAGGTGCTTTCAAGAAACCATTAGCGTTTGCGAGAGTCCTGGTAGCTCTGTCGTCTTCAGGACACATAGCAGGAAATCTAGCTTCCAGTCATTCGTTTATATTTTTTCATGGCTTTCCTTCGCGATCACGCAGACACAAGGGGGACTGCGGCCCCTCAATGCCCAGGGGAGGTGGGAGGGCCGGAGCCCTTCCCGGGAGGCAGCGGGGTCGCTGCGAGTCAAGGTGAGGGGCAGCACCCTCTGCTCACACAGAGCAGTGTTTCAGGATGTCGCTGGCGATGTCTGCTCGGTACCGGGGAGGAGGTTGAAAGCGGGAGGTGAAGGGGAGCACCAGCCCCCCACTTGCTCCGGCGGAGAGGAGGCCAGCATGGCTAAAGGCACGGAGAATTTCAGAGCTCGCCTGCACAGCGACTCAAATCAGTGCCTGTTTGTATCCTGGCAGTGATTTTACGGGAGGCAGCCATAAGCCAAAGGTGTCTCTGCCTTGCCCTCCTGCACACTTCGGGGCTTCACCTTAGCCTGACGATTTATAACGTGTGTCTCCAGAATTCTAGGGCAAGATTAATTATCTCTTCCTTTGCCTCTTTGGTGGGGGAGGCCATGGCTGGGTTACTCCTTCGCTGCGGCAGTGGGGTGCAGCGGAGTGAGCCCAAAGTGGTTCTCTGACGCTGGGGAGTGGCCGGGCTGGCCGTAACGGCCCAGGCTTCGCTCTAGCAGGTGGCTCCGCAGGGAGCTTCCTCGTTTGTCCTTTCACGCGGTTAAACCGACCCCCTAAATACTTGTCTTCGGGACTTAACCTCTGTGGCTATCCTTCGGACCAAGTTTGAGAGTGCTCCTTTTTCCTCTCGATTCTTTCTCTTCACGGGTTTTCAGTTCCCATATCTTTACGTGCGCATAAACCCCTTACCCAAAAATGTGTGTATACACATACACTTGCCCTATGCATTGTACTCGTTGATGCCCTGTTGGTCTCCAAAGGACGGACTCCCACGGCGATTTGAGGTGTGTCTGCAGGTGGGACGCCGGTGTCACTCACGATGCTCCCGGACAGCGGCAGTCCGCCCGGGACAAGCGTGGGCTGGGGGGGTGGGGGGGAAGAGGGCAGGTGGGACACGCAGGGCCCGGGCGAGCTAGGACGGGCTGTGGCTGGGGGCATTTCCAAAAGGAAAGGGCTGGTAGCGTTTTCCTCCAAAACCTCAACACCTCTTGCATTATATACTCACAAAACACGGAGGGGTTTTCTTTTCCTGGTAGTGTAGGAAACGCGATCATGGTCATGAAAGAAACCAAGGATTTTGTCCTGAGCTGACAGACTTGTAGCCATTTTAATGTTTTACAGCCTGGAGAAAACTCGACCGTTCCTTCTCTAAGCGTTTCCTTTCGTTGTGAGAATAAAGCGGAAAAACAGAAGAGCCGTGGGGAGCGAGTCGAGATGCCTTTCTCGCTGCCCTATTTCGTGCCGTTCGGTGTGGGCCTGCATCTGTGCTCGGTGCTGGTCCCCGGGGGAACCCTGACGTCGTGCATCTCACCCCTCTCCCCGGAGGGCCAGTGGCATTATTGACGCACGTGAAAACAAGTGGTTTGCAAATGAATTATTAAAAAAGACGTAATCGGACACGGAGTTCGCTGTCGGTTGCTGGGGGATTTTATAAAGTAAATAATTTTTTTTTTTTTGCCTCCCCGGCTTAAAGCTTGTGCTGTGAAACTCTGTTTTATACACGGCAGATTCAGGGTCGAGCCCTGCCCGCTTACACCACGCTTGTAAATGGAAGTGTCATTTCACCCTCGTTGCATACCAGACAAATGCCACCTTGCAGCTCTCCCCCGCAGCCTGCGCTACCTCTTCCCTGGAAGAAGCCCGGCTCAGGGCCGGCCCGGGGGGGGAAGAACTCCTGCCGTCCGCGGCGGCTGGATCCCGGCGGGACCAGGGCACGGCAGCGGCGCCCGCCGCGGGACAGCTGTCCCCGGGCATGCAGACCTTGAGGGCCCGGTTTCTCACCAGGCCGTCTCGATTTCGTTTGAAAAGTATTTCTCTCCTGCAACTGTGGTCTAATAACTGAGAAGATAAAACTCACCCAACCTTGAGACGCCGCAAGGCTTAATCCAGAATCGTGCTGTAAATTTATTTATTTATTTATTTATTTTCCTTTGGAGGCTGCTGTTTCTAGCTACCGCTGCTCACCGAACGTGGCTCTGCTCCCGGTGCCTCTCGGCGCGGAGGGGTTATTTCTCTCGAGCATTTGGCGGCGTTAGAAAACGACATTTAAGAGTGTCTTCTCTCTGGGTTTTCTTCCAAACAGAGCAACAACGAGTAACGCGGGGAAGAAGCGGGGCCAGCGAGGAACTGAGGAGCATTTTGCTGTGATTTTGCTTACCGCCTACTTCCTTTCCCCCCTTTTCTAGGTGTGTGCGAGTGCTAATGTCCAAGCCCCAGAGCCTATGGCTGTCCGCCGAAGGGACCTCCCTTTGACCTAATCGCAAAAGCACCCACCGGGACCTGCATCCAGTCCCAGGGAATATGTGCAGCGTCATGGATGGGGAGAGGCGGGCCTCTAGCCAGCAGCCGGCACGTCGGGCGACACCTTGCCCCTACTGTAGCTGCCCACCTCCCCGGGCCACCCTCTGGGAGAGGGCGCAGCAGTTCGAGCGCCTGGGCTGCTGAAGCGTCCCCCTCCTGGCGAGGGAATCCCAGATCAGTCCCGATGGGATCAGTTTCCGGGCTGGAAAGCCGAATCCAGCCTTCGCAGTCTATGCACTGCCCAGGGATTACTTCCAGAGGCAGAACTGAGGGAGGAAGGCGAGAGAATCTTGCTGTATACAGCCTGTACTGAGCACCGAGACATCGTCTCAGCAGCTTCTGGCGGCTTCAGGCCGACAGGTCCCGGGGACTGCCGTCTGCCTGACCACGGCTCAGGCTTCCTCGGCACATCCCAATGCCACTGACTTGGCCCAGGTGGCAAATACCCGCGTTACAGCGGGCTGCAAATTACCGCCGGCGCCGGCCACTGTCCCAGGACTGATGCCCCAGGTGGTGCATCCACCGACCTTAGCAGCTCTTTCCTTGACAGTTTTCCTCCTCCACAAAATGAGATCTGAGTTATCCCCGTTTGCGACATTCTTTCTCAGAGCGTTTCAGGTCATCTCAGACTGGCCAATAGGCAAAAGGTGCTTGGCGATGGGGCAGAGGAGCATCAGGGCCGTGGGATACGAGGGCTTTTCCTGCTGTTTGTAGGAGACTATAAGATGGGAAGAAAGGTGATGCCAAAGCCTCCAGAGAAAGTTTGCTGGCAAGACCTCCCAGTATAGCTGCTGCGAAGGTGCCCGTGCAGCCCTGCAGAGATGCTGCAATGGCTACTGTCAGCACTCCTGTACCAGGGCTTCTCTGCCTGACAAAGGTCGATGTTTATCCCAAATCAGAGACCACGGGACACCTTAGGGAACCCTGATTCGGCCTCCCGCCACAGTGCAGTACGAGGTTTACTGCATCCCTGCAACTTCCAGGATCGAGACCAGGAGCCAAGACCTAACCCAGGCGGGTGAGCCATAGCTGCAAAGCCCTGCTGCCTGTCCCTGGGCAGAGGCAGGTTGAGGTGGGGCTTGGGCACAAGCTCAGAGACTGGGGCCCGTATCTATGAAGTCAACAATTTAGGAAACTCAGCCCAGGTGTTTCTTTTTATTGTCAAAACCTGCAGATATTTTCCGACGTCTGTCTTGTATAAACAGGATTAGTGTGAACAGCCTGTTAGTCTTTGGGAATTGGGGTATATGCCATGTAGTATCTCTCTTACGTACAAACACCCTCGACTTATCACAGGAGTAATAGATGAAATGTCACTTAGGGGAAAAAAAGAGCAAACATCCAGTCGCTCTGCACATTTGAAGGGTTTTTTTATTCTTTGTATGCACACAGTTCAGGATGAAGGTGCGGGCTTCTGTGGTATTTGAATAACGTGCCTTTTTTATCTTGTAGTTTTTAACCTGTATCTTCCACTAGTAAATTGTGACTATTAAAAAAAAACTATTATAAATCCCACTCACTGTAAGCATAGTTGCAAGACCAAGTAATTGCAATGTGTAATTGCAATGTACCGATTTGAAAATTTATTTAAAAGAATCAAATAATCGTAGGTGAATTATTAACGTCGTGGTATTGCAAATTAACAATTTGCAATATTAGGACAGTTGCAGCACCATGGAAGATACAAAATCAGGACTAGCTTCCTCGATTAATTACCATACAACTTTCTTTAAAAACTTGTGGGTGGTTTCTTTAGGATCAAAACCAATTTAAAACCTCTGAACCTTTTCCTTCTGTATTTCTCTGCCTATACACAAAATACAGTTTCTCATTTACAAACAGATCTGAGCATACTGTTCTGAGGAACAATGCAAAAGAGCTAGGACTACACCTGTTAGGCGATAAAGATGAACTTTAGCTTGGCTTTCAGAAATGATCTTTAATAAAAGTCAGGGGTGGTGGATTTTTTGTTTTTTTTTTTTGGGGGGGGGGGGTGTTTGTTTTTTTTTGTGGAGGGGTGGGTTGCTTTTTGTTGTGGTTTTTTTTTGGTTGTTGTTGTTCGTTTGTTTTGGATTTTTTTTTTTTTTGTGCTCACATTGTCCGTTTAGTATTTTCTTTAATGTACAAGCATTAAAATCGGTCTCCTTTAGCTGCCTCTGTATGGCTGTATGCATGCAAGTGCTCGCTGGTGGCACTTAAGGGAAAGGTTTTAAGCTGTGAGGACGGCCACATTCAGTGGCACTGGGGCAAGGACTTTACCGGATCTGACTTGCATTAGTGAATCGGCGTGGAAAAGCCGATTGCAGGTAATAACGCAGTGGAGAGGGGAGCCCCGCCGGGACACCGAAGGACCCCGGCAGGCTTTCCCGCTCAAGACACTCGCTTTCCGAGCCTGCCGGACAACACCCTCCCTCTGCCAGCTGAAGGTTACTGCATCAGAACAGCGGGAAGCAACGGGGGAAGCCGGTCCCCGGCCGCAGCTCACGGCTGCAGCCCCTAGCATCCCCCTCTGCTCCGCTTCCGGCAGCGGCTTTTTCCCCCATCTCCCAACCTGGGGGTTACCCGGACCCCGCAGCAGCCTCCGCGCCCTGCGGGGCAGCAGCCCGCTTTCACTCGGGGGCAGCGGACACCGTGAGGCAACGTCGACTGCGAAGGGGGGGAAATTCGCCATCCTCTGGCTTTTTATCACCTTAAAGGCTGCAGCTTTTTGACTGGGAAACTGTGCAGCGGGTAGACTCAGGTTGCTTGCCCCATCCTTCCCCTTTAGCCGGGGCACTCCTGGGATGCAGAGGAGCGGGAGAATGCGGCGCCAGGACCGTCCTGCCCTGGCAGCACACACCTGGGCGCAGGGAGCGCGCCCACCAGCGGATAATGCGCGCAGTGCCTTGTCTGGTTTCGGGGGGAGGGGAGTCTTCGGGACTGGGAAATGTCTCTCCCTTTTATCTGCCGACGGGAAGAACGGCGGCAAGAGCCTGTCCTTTCCCATCTCACGATCCATACATAGTTTTGTATATATACATATATTTGTTTTCAGTGTAGTTGTGTCTTATACGAACCGGGGCGTTTTCTGGGAGCGCGAGGCTATTTCTTCCGCGGTAGCTTTGCCGGAATAACGAGAGCAACGTTTGCCTCCGGCTTCTGCACCGGTGCTCGTCGGCTGCGCGCTTAAACCCAACGCGTTTTTTCCTGGTCCTTTATTTTTCTCTTGATGTACTTTGGGACTCTCTAAATAAGCTGTAGATAAAATCTATAAATCTCTTCTGGCGTCAGAAGCAAACGCAGCAAATGCAGGCATTTCTGCCTCTCTATCTCTCCTTGAATCTTGGAGCAGGATGGGAAAGGCTCAACGATGCTGACAGAACGAGAGGGAAACATTTTCTTGGGGCTGACGAACGACACTTCTATCGGCAGGAGCCCGAAATCAGGGCAGGAGTGAGCCGGGGTGCCTGACCCGGCTGCAAGGAGCTCTCCTTCCCTCCTTTCTTCCCTCCCTTTTTCTTTCCTTCCCTCCTTGCCCCCCTCCTTCCCTCCTTGGCTCCCCGCCGGGTGGAGGGGCAGCTCCGTTTCCCCGGTTTGCTTGCTAGGCTGATGTGCTATTTCTACAGTATTTATACACATAGCACCGCCGTGGGTGCACCGCGTCTTGGTTTCTTAGGGAAACCTGGTTTTATCCTCTTGCCAGGTTGGCATTAACTGATCAGCGATTTGGAGCAATACTCGCCTCGTCCTGCCTACCAGAGATCGCTCTGGGAGCAGCTGCCTCCCTCCGAAATGCCGTGCGTGGGTCTGACACTGGGCAGCTCCGGAGCGGCTCAAGGTCAGACCTTGGTGCCGGTGGGACTCCGGTAGTGCCGGCGGGGAGATGTGACCGCCAGCTGTGGTGGGTTATCCGATTTAGTTTATTTTGTTTTATTTTTCTCAGGTCTTGGGAAAGCAACTTCAGGAGAGAAGGAAACATTCGGGTGGTGAAAGGTCCCTCTCCCATCACTGAATTATAGCCATTGTGCCCATCCCATCAAAACCATCATGTTACAGACTTTGCCCCACTAGCCAGACTCTGGGACCAGGCCCAGATGGAGGGTACCCCCATCGTCTAGCAGTGACTGACTGAAGTGTGGCCTGATCTCTGCTGCTCCTGCACCCACAGCCGTCGGGCTTACCCCTCTGTCTTCTAGCTGTCCTCTTGAAGTGTGGCTTCTCATTTGAAACAGAGAAGCAGCTAGGCAGCTTCTCTCAAGTCAATGTGATGTATGTTTAGAATAAACCTTGCTCGATGAGTGTCTGGGGTGGAGGAAGGGCTCTGAGCTTCACTGTGCTGGGAATTTTCCACTTTAATTTCAGTCACAGAAACTAGTTGTTTCCAGTGTGGAAAGCGCTCCAGGCTTCTGCATGATTAAACTCATCTGCAGCGTTTGGAATGGGACATTGCAGTGACAGTGAGACGGGGACTTTCTGCTGGGTCATGACAAGGCTGCAGGCATTGTAATTTAGAATCATAGAATCTCAGAATGGTTTGGTGAGTATTCATACACCAAAGGCTTATGTCTTCCTCTCTCTCCTTCCCCATCTCCCTCTGAGCTTGAAGATAATCCTGGGCTAAGGGCAACATTTATGTTTAACACTCCCCTGTACGTTTGAGGCAGACACACAATTTTGAGCATAACTAGTGAGCTATGAAAGACGCATTTAAGCATTATCATTCATCCATCTTATGGTGGCATCTGCTTGAAAGAAGGTGAATCTCATGTTGATAGTGATGATGATGACCTTATTTGCTGTAATGCAAAACCACAGGAAACAAGATCAATACACTTTAAAGTAACAGAGTGGCTCTCATTGATAGCTAGTTTCAGTTTCTTCACCCTTCTCTCTGCCAGTCCCAGAATTACGGTTTTAATGTCATGCTTTCCCTCCTTCTCTAGTATCAATATTGTACTTGAATAAGATTATTCACAACCAAACAAGGACTTCTCTGTTAATAGTCTCTGTCCTTGAAGCCCTCTTTTACCTTTCAAGTCCTTCAATACTATAGAAGTCCTGTAGTCTTTTCTAAGATCCAGTCAGCCTCTCACAGCATTAAAGGAATCTCTGATTTCTTCTCCTCTTCCTTCAGGTCATTATGTTTGTCTGCTGGCAAGAATGCAATACCTGAAAGCCATTCCACCAATCTATGGAGCAAGATTTCCTTCCAGGTGATCACAATGTATGGGAAGAACAAGTCCTCTCAGACAAACTAGCATGTTAAAGCCATCAAGGTGGTCTCCTGTGCCCAGCCATGGGCAGAGCTCAGCTTTCCCTGGGCTGCCAGTGGGTGTGGAAGCTGCCTGGTGCTGGCATGCCTGGAATTTCATGCGCAGTACTGGGCACTTGCACAGTCAAGCCCAGATTTCCAGGTGTTTTCTTTCTGGGCTTAATTCCACCACCATACACCAGAGCAAGTAACATCTTATTCAGCAGGGAGTTTCACTCAGTCTTAGTCATGAAGATGGAATTGGTCCTACAACAACAACAGTAATTATGCTTTACCTGCGTCCTTTCCAAAACTCCCTACATGGCCTCTCCATCACAAAAGCAAACAGAAGCTCCCAGAAAGCAGCAGCAAGTTCAGAGAGATCTGGCTCCTCACCAGTCTGAATTTTGCCAGGTGTTTCTTGCTCCAAGAGTTTGAGCTATAGCTCGAGCTATATCGTATCCTTTCTAGTACTGAATTTCTGGGAAGACACCAACTATTTTATGCAATGGGGAACTAAACAAACACTTTTAAAATAAAATTATCTAGTGGTTAACAATACTGACTTTCATGTATTCTGCTTCTAACGTGAATCTACCTAGCCTTAGTTTTCAGAGACCAGAAACGAGAATTACTCTACCTTCTAGTCAAAATGTCTCTGTATTTGATAATGGGAGTGGATTACAGCTCTTGGCTCAATATCGCATCCTCTCTCCTTCCTATGCTTCCATTCCTGTACTGAAGTCTGTGGGAGCTACACATGGACATTGGGAAGAGTTCTTGTGCTTATTAGCTGCTTTAGTACCCCAGCCTGGTGCAAGGTGAGGTCCACTTGTAACAGCTGAATAATTGGGCGTAGAACCTCAGTGACAGCTTGGTCTGTGCACAATTATTCATCCCAGGTATTTCTGATTTTTTGTATTCTTCTATTTTCGTCACATCCAGCTCAATATTACAAGGTGCTGAGTAATAGCTTAGGAACCCTATCAGGTAATGGCTCCAGGGTTTGTTTACCAACATCCACTAGAGACTCCAGCTTTTCTGTGGAAAGCCCAGAGCCCAGGTTTATCCAGGTATCAAGCTGTCACATTCCTTGGGGCCTGCAGAGCAAACTGGCCTTTGTGAAGAATGTTTACCATGACTATAAGGCAGCTGTGTTTAGAAAGTAATTTCAAGAAAGTCTAGAAATAACCAGCTGGATTTCCATAACAGATTTGTACCTGATTGTAAGGGAAGAACAATCGTTTATCAATCGGAGCTTTGCATTACCATCACAGGTAATACAATGAAATGGCAGGGGCAAGACTCAGAGTCTGAGTTAAGAAGTGATGCAGGGAAGTCTTTGGGGTCTAAATGTCACTTAGTACTAACTCAGGTTTTATTAATTATTTCAGCATCTGTTCCTGAAACTAATACACAAGCCAATTAGTGTAATCCTGATCTTTGTGCCAGTGGTAAGTATTTGCACTCAGTGGGACTGTCATTAGCTTTAGATTCTTGCTGTCTGAGCATTTTGCCTACAGCCCGTTTTTTTGCAGCTTCCAACTTAGCTGTGGAAAGATACGCTGTCAGATTTAGGATACAGGGGAGAGCTGGTCACAGAGGCTTATCCTGGCTTCAAGACAAGACTGAGGTTTTACTATAGGCCATATCCCATGTGTAAGGAGTACTGTCCATTTTTTTCTAAACTGCAGCACCTCTCTATCACAAACATCTCCTTTTCTATGCCACCATAGGCACCAGGGGCAACCAGGCATAGCACATGGAAGAGGACTGAGCAACCTTATTAGGGATGTGCAATTTATTTTGTACCTCTACAGAGCACTAACTATGGGGTATACTGCCTTTAACTCTCTCTTTTAGATGCTGTTAAGCCCAGGCAGGTCAGGACTTCTAATTGGACAGATGAATAGATTAGCTGTTTTTTTTTATTTTATTTGGGAGATTTTTTTTTTATTTGATTTTTTTTTTTTTTTTTGGGGGGGGGGGGGGAGGGTTAGTAAACCCAAACTTTCAAAAATTTCCAGACCAGAAAATTACACAACTTCACAACTCTATCACATCTTTTGTTTGTTCACTTCCATTTTTAACTCACTGAAAAATGAAGGTTCTTATCTCTCTGTGAGCTTATTTACTACTTTTACTGCTGGCATTTATTTATGATTAAAACATTAATTTATCATCACAGCAAATCTTGTTAAACTGACTGCAAAAATTATATTTACTGAGTGAGATACCCAGCTATGGTGATAAACAGATGAAGTAACTCAAATAAAATATTTATTTCCTCTATATGACTGTAAAGTGCAATATTTTAAAAGCCATAGGCCAAGTTCTGCCTTACGATTTACTTGGTCTTTCCAGAGTGGGTAGGAGCTACCAGAAGCTGTGAAAGAAGCTTTACACTCTATATCAGATGACAACTGTCTTGTCAGCTCAAACTCTAGCAGCTTATGCTTTCACTCTGGAGTTCCTTGAGACAGTTCTTGGATTTATGATGGCCCAAATGGTAATTGGCAAATACAGACATGCAGAAGAGCCACAGAGAAGCCAGCAGCAGCCAAACACAGACATCTGAAGACAGTAGTTTGTTTATGAAGTAAAACTGAAAATAATCCTTTCTGTTTTTATTTTCTCTCTCCTCCCGTTATGTAACTGCAGTTCAAGAGGTGGTAGAAATACTGGAAGAAAATCAGTCCTCAACAGTTTGTCCAAGGTTTCACTAGGAGGAGCCATACCATATGTAATCATTGTGCAGGGCTGTTTGCAATTAGTAGACATCAGAACTGCTCCCTGGGCAGCATTTTTGCTATTGCCATTCATCTTTTTAATAAAGGCTTTTCAAATAGATCAGAAGGTAAAACTGACTCGTTACTGGGGTTCTTTGAGTGTTCAGTGTGTCGTTTTTATAGACTTCATTCTGCCACCAAGAGGATAATAACTATAACTACTATGTCCTGTGCACACTTTATGTAGGATTGTAGTATTTTGTAAAATGTTTCTTTATCTTTCTGTGCATTTTGTACAACAGTGAGCACAACTGGATGCTGCCTGGTGCTTCACCTGCAGTTAAAACAATAATCACCCATAGTGCTATGGGGAGTTAGGAGTGGAAGTGTGTCTTATTACTCAAATTCTGCAGTTGTTTATCCCTAGGGAAAGAACAACTGTACCTTTAAGGTACTGAAAATGGCACGGAGCCATCCTATTCCAGGTTGGAAAACATAGGAAAAGAAAGGTAAAATGAGGCAAACTGCCTTTGAGAAGGACCTTGCTGTGTCTATTGTCACTTCCATGTTCCTTCAGGAAGCTCAGAAGTCCGTGTGCTCTTGTCATGGAGAAGACAGCTACAGCTCAGCCTCCTGTTTACCTCTTGGACAGCTCTGTGTCCCTGAGGTGAGTAATGCTGCATGCCTGCTCCTAGGTGCAGGAGTAAAGGTCCATATCTCCTGCTTCTGTATGGAAATCTTTCATCAGCAAGAATGACCACTTTTTACAGCCAGCAAAATCCTGAAGGCTCATTGCAGATGGGTGCCCATGTGTACTGAAAGTGTACCAGAAGTACAGCTGCCACTGTCTCTAACCTTGCAATCCACACACCAACATCTTCTAATGGCTGAGAGCCTCAAGACATATACTATATTCTTCAGAGAGTTGTGGGGAAAAGTCAGTGGTTGGAGTGATTCAGAGATATAGTCGTTTACTTCTTTGAGCTAGGAGCTGAAGCTGTGTGGGCAGCTGACCCTACAGAGGACCATAGATATTGGTGTTAGGAGCCCTTGCTAGGTCATCTTCACCTACCATAAGGGACGTGGAAAGTCCTGTGAATTCTCCACTAGCATAGTTCTGCATTTCTGTCATAAGTACCACAGCTGAACTGTTCAAAATCACTGAAGTGTTTACTTTTCAATTCTATACTGTATTAGGGTTCCAGGCTAAGATAATAAACATGTAAGAACAAAACTTAAATATTGCATTTTCACATTCCCATCTGCATAAACCCATAAAGTTTCTTGCACATATTTGGTTCTTCAAGTCTGTTTTTAAGAGAAAAACTTCCATCTTTCTTCACAAATAGCATTTAAACAGTCTCCTTGCAGTGTGCTCTTCGCAAATGCAGGCTGGGGTCTTACATGTCACCCTGCTTAAACCTACTGTGTCAGTTCTGTTTGAAGACTGACTCCTCTATCTCTGTGAAATGAGAGTGACCTGACTTACCAGCATCAAAGAAGATGTTACAAGAATATTAAAAAAGCATTGGAATCCAGGAGGGACTGGAAATATTCCTGGGAAAGTTTCAGCTCAGTGATGGAATATACATTTGTGTTATTATTTTAGCAAAAGTGTCTTCTATGATGCTAAGGTTTGCTATCAAATATAATATAAATTTCACATCTGGTTGGAAGAAATAAATACAATAATGCTTCAAAGACTAACTGTCAGACTTAAAAAGCAAAGAGATGAGGATTTATTGGTGGTCTTATTATTAACAGAAAAGCCTCGGGACCTCAAAATAGATCAGGGTTATAAGTGAAAGTGGGTTCTCTTCCTCTTTGTTCACCTTAACAGGCAATTAACATCAATCTAAAAAAGGATGCTAATATGTTGATTGTGCACATTTGGATAATGTTAGCTTAATTAATGCATAGATGAAAAAGGAAGATTGTAGAGAAAAACACATTACAGGCATATTCCTCATCTTAAACATTTCAGACAGTGTGCCATTCTGGAGATGATATTTGCTTAAGAAACCCCAATCCTACCATTTTCCAGTCTTGCAAGACCTTTGGGAACCAACAGTCAGCTACTTCTGTGTAAAGGCTGAAAATGAGTATCTATTCACAGAATGAATGATGAAGAAAAGAGGAACTTCTGAAATAGATGTCTTATAAAATTATTATTTGAGGGAGTTGGAGAAAAAAAAAGCATTTCCAAATGAGCAGATCGAAGGCAGCTTGAAGACACACACGTAAGATTTCCTGCCTGAGTTTCTGCTGACTTCAGCTTCCTTTCCAAAAGAACAGTGTTCCATTCAGTGATGGTTAGAGCCTTGCAAGAGTCACTGTGAGATGCTGGAAAGATCTGTACAATTAATCCCGGCCCCTTCTTTCCCCTAAAAATTGTCTGCAAGAGTTTCTGTTCTGCTAAGTCAGGACTAGATTGAATCCTTCATGGCATTTTAATTAAATTCTTACAGCAACTTCTTAATTGATTTTATAACAAAATCTAACCCATGCTGTGTTAAAGCTAGTGTGTTCTTTGTTTTGTTGAGTTATTGCTTAATTACTAAAGAAATATCAAACACAAATTTCATTATTTATATGATATTTCAAAATTATGTGTACCATAAAGTCCCATTTACATCTACCACATTGGTGTTCAACTCACTTTCCATTATTCTAGAGGCTATTAATGTCAGTAATGACAGGAGGTAACATGTCTAATATCGACTCTATGGCGGAATAAAGCAATGTTGAGCTGCTACAGTATGTTTTATATTAAGTACAAAAAGCTTCTGATGTAGTTAATGTAACTATAAAT